GAGGTTTCAGTACTACGATGTAGTCGTCGCGAGAGAGGCGAGGAGTCTGACGCGGACGCCACTTGCGTTGCTTCGCTGGCTGCGAGGACGGAGCAGAGGTAGGCACACCACCGGAGGGATGGCGCGCCGGCGTTCCTTGCAAGGCTGGGGAATGGCGGCTAGCTGTGGCGTCTCGTTGTTGAGACGCAGACTTTGATTTGGCTTGCTTGCGTTGCCACAGTCTCACCATGTCGTCGAGGTATTCGTCTTCTGATGGCATAGTGTTTACGGAGGATGAAATCTCCATGGACAGTACTTGGCTTGAGGTAGGATCATAGCCCGTAACCACGTTGGTGGCCGCCATCGCCGGGCTGAGAGCCCTTAGCGAGGCGGCGTTGTAGCCGGGAGTGAAGGATGTCCCTCAAGTTGTCAAAACTGGACCCACCTGGACGAAGGTGTTGTCTAGGCGAAGCGGAGAACTTGGCGGTGACGATAAACCCAAGTTTCAGGGGTACCAGGGTGGATGTCCGCAGAAATAGCAGAAAATCTACGGAGGCGATGTGGAGTGCGTCCGTCACCATCGAGCGCTCGCAGCGCCCCCCGCCCCCCCCCCCTCCCCACTAAGGGGTGGGACGTGTGTTTGGAAAACTTTATTATGCCCGAGACAGATCACGGAAGTAAAAACTCTGCATAACCGCATGACATTTGCTGGCCAGACGTGTGTTAAGAACATATGTTCGACGATCTAGAGTACGAGGTACTCTACTACGAGAGAGCAAAACTGCTGTCCCAGATGTGTTTAGAAAAAGAAAACGTTTAACGATTTAGAGTACTTGGTACTCAACTATGGGAGAGCAGTAAACCGTCCCTAAACTATTTTTGTGTTTAGAAAACGTGGTTAACTATTTAGAGTACTCGGTACTCTACTATGGGAGAGCTGAAAGCCTTCCTGTGGCCCTTACATAATTCCTTTTACAGTACCATAAACGGCACCATTAGTGTGTGGGGGGGGGGGAATTAGAAAAAGTAGGTAACGATTTAGAGTACGAGCACTTGGTACTCTACTATGGGAGAGCTTAGAGCTGTCCCGTGGGCCTCCGGGAAGTAGAACAACTGATACCCACGAAATGAAGGGGGGGGGGGATTAGAAAAAGGGGGTAACGATTTAGAGCACAGGGTACTCTACTATGGGAGAGCTTAAAGCCGTCCCGTGTATTCACTCATGGAGCTCTGTACAAATGTCAAAAGTAAATCTTTACTTTACGAAACCCCTGGAGAGGTATCAATGCTCGCATACGCTACATCGAAAGCCCTTAGCGTTTACTCTAGCTTTTCCTCGGGTTTTTTTAATACATATAGTTAGGAAGAACACCAGCCACAGCGCAAATAGCTACCATCTAAAATTCTTCACGTATTCCTTGCAGCCTTTAAAATACTATTACCAAATGCAAAGTTGAGAGCTCGCATCTCTTAAATGTAATGATAAAAGAGTGACTGCTGCAACAAAGAACGCTTCAGATAGATCTCAGCTCAAGACAAACACCAGGGCCGCACGTCAGCTTCATCACTCTTAGGAGACTGATGGGCGGTGTCATCGTCGGCGGCGTAGAGGAACCAGCGAACGATCTGTCGATATCACGAGCCGCTGGCCTTTAACTTCTCTTTCCTCCTCTGACACGCGCACCCGCCCCTCGGTCGGAGCTCGTGCGCATGAAGGGTTACGCACGTGCACTGCAGCTGGCTTCACCTTTAATGGGGCTGTCGGCGTTTCGCTTGGTTCACGACGCCGGCAATGCACAGAGTGGTGTGCGTAGCGCTCGAGCACTGACAGTTTCCGTGGCAATATGTAACGATTGTAACACTGCTAGAACTGCGGATAGCGAAAAAAAAATTGCCCGCAGCTTCCCTCGGGGGAACACTGAGGAGGATGCGGAGCATATAATTGGTTTATGGGGTGTTAAATTGCGACTTACTTGGGTCGATGGCTAAATTGGTTAACGTGGTTGTGAAATGGGGTGTTAAATTGCGACTTACTTGGGTCGATGGCTAAATTGGTTAACGTGGTTGTAGGAGGGGGTGTTAAATGAGTGAACACGTACACACGTATGCGAAAGGGCGGCGCTGGTTGAAGGGACGTCGATCATTGTGTTTGTGGATTCGTTGGAATTCATTTCACCGCGACCTTGGACGTCGACGCGCCGTACAAACCAACCGACGAGCGGCAACTGAGCGAGCGAGCGCCGACCGTGAGTATATATACAGCGCGACGGCGCATGCACTGTCAGCTGTCGAATGTTCTAGAAGGGGGAGAAGCGCAACGGCGCATGCGCGCGCGTCAGCTGCCGATGTTCTCGAAGCGCGACGGCGCATGCGCGCGCGTCAGCTGCCGATGTTCTCGAAGTGTGACGGCGCATGCGCGCTACATTATACAGCTAGCGAATGTTCGTGAAGAGGAGAAGCGCACGCGGTGTGTAGAGGAGGAAGGGTGCACAGATGGTGGAGGAGTGAAGCGCGCACGGTGTGTAGAGGAGGAAGGGATGCACAGATGGTGGAAGAAGGAGGAGGAAGCTTGCGGACGGCGCCGCAATACAAGCCTCGAGTATTAGATGCTCCGCATCTAAAATTCGAGCACAGTTGGCGTTGCCCCGACAAGAAACATACATCCCTTTATTAAATGCGAAGCATTTCTTAGCGAACTTCGGCGACTTTGAGCGTATCTATCTATCTATCTATCTATCTATCTATCTATCTATCTATCTATCTATCTATCTATCTATCTATCTATCTATCAATGAATCAATCAATCTATCAATCAATCTATCTATCTATCTATCTATCTATCTATCTATCTATCTATCTATCGACCCGCCTACGACTTGTAGCTCTCCTGGCCATTTAGATAATGGTATCAATACCAAACGTCGTATGGCATAACATGACTGAATGAAGAACATATTTCACAAGTCATAATATGAAAAGCATGACACGGATGTCATGAATGACATTTAATGGTCCTGCAGCTCTTGCAGTGGTTTCGTTCACATGGCATGTCCCAAAACTGGTATGGTATGACTTGATTGCATGGCGAACACAAGCGACGGATCCTAACATGAAAATCCTGACATGCGTGTCATGTAACAGCATGACTACATGCCACGCGCATGGTCCACTCACAGTTGTTTCACTAGCGTCACATATAACCAATTTCGTATTACGGTACGTGAATGGATGACGAAAGTATGTGACTGGTGCAAACATGGTAATCATGAGATGCGTGTTATGTAACAACATGACTACATGCCATGCTCATGATGCGCTCGCGGCCGTTTCGATACCTTAACATGTACCAAACTCGGTATTACGTGACGCGAACGGACGACATAGGTAAATGACACATACAAACATGATTATCACGACATGCGTGTCATGTAACAACTTGACTACATGCCACACTGATGATGCGCTCGTGGCCATTTCGCTAGCTTGACATATTCCGAATTTGGTATTACGGGACGTCAATGGATGACGAAGGTATGTGAATGGTGCAAACGTGATAAGCATGACATGCGTGTCGTGTAACAACATGACTATATGCCACATTGAAGATGTCCTCGCGGCTGTTTCGCTAGCTTCACTTATGCCAAATTTGGTATTACGTGACGCCAATTAATGACGAAGGTATGTGACTGGTGCAAACGTGATAATCATGAGATCCGTGTCATGTGAGAACATGTCTACATGCCACAGTCCATGCGCAAATACATTTCGACGTGACGCGGTGCGCGTGCTTGCCAGCGTTCATTTCGTAGCATCATGCCGGTGTTGCAACGTCAGGCGCCGGTCCTGCCATATACTCGCAGGCGCGTGCCCCGCTGCGTAGCCTTGACGCATGCGCGTTTCAGCGCGTCCGGCGTTCCTTCGTTACGAAAAGAGGGAGACGCAGTGTTGTCTGGACAACGAGTCGGCGTGAAATGCAGCATGTCGCATTTCGCTCCGGTTGCCATCGGGCCGCGCCGACGGACGCTGGCCGCGCCCGGCGTCATGTGTGAGTGCTCGCATTTTGCTAACGTAGCGTCACTGCGCCTAGCGTGCGCGCGCGTCAATGCTACACTGCTATTGGGCCCTTCATGATGCGCTCGCGGCTTTTTTGCTAGCTCCACATGTACCAAATTTGGTGTTACGCACGTGACGTCAATGAATGACGAAGGTATATGACTGGTGCAAACATGATAATTCTGACACGCGGGTCATGTAAGAACATGACAACATACCACGCTCATAGAGTGCTCGCGGTTGTTTCGTTAGCTCCACATATTTTAAGTTTGGTATCACGTGACGTGAATCGATGAAGAAGACACGTACGGAAGCCATGTACGGCATCATTTACCTCCGGCTCGTAACGTTGTGCTGATATTAAAGTGACATATCAACATTTCTCATTCGTGCTTCGCATATCATCGATTCCCACTCTACGTGGGATGTGCCATTTTTTTTTTAGAGCGCTGCCGTTAGGTGACACTTCTTGTGTTGAGCGGCATCGGTCTCGCCGTAACCGACAGAGCGAACGAGGACGAAAGAGAGCGAACGCGGAGCTCAGCGCAGTATGATAGACGGCCGGCGATACTGAGGAGAGCACGAGGAGGAGAAAACAACAGGGACGAGACTACTGGTTCCGTGGTGGCCACCCACGACGCCACAACAGTGCGTTGCGCCGTGCCGTCGCCGATGACGTCAACATTGATATATCCTGGAAAGGCAAAGTGATGTGTGAACGGAGGCCTATCTGCAGCGGCTGTTGTGGAATACGTCCACGCGCTCGCTGCCTTCTGCGGCCTCCCAGTCGGCGTGGCAGTTACGCTACGCTCAATTTGCGGTGGTTGATACAAAATGGGCTGCAGAAATTGCCCGAGCCAGTCGCGCTACTCACGGCCTGGTGTGCAACTGCATTTCAATACATGATGGTCAGAATTCCTATTAGGCAATATCGTAGTCATCAATGAACTTCTTTTGTTTTATTTCAGATATATTTTGTGGGCCGGGACCTGCGCAAGCTTCATGGCGTGCTTCCAGCTGACGTGATACCAGCGGAGTATGGTGGCACCCACGAAGACTTCGACTACTGTAGGCTAGAAAAAGACGTTAAAAGCTCGAGCAGCTACTTCGATCACATCAGCCGTTTCGGTTATCGCACGAGTGTGCTTACATAGTAGTTGCGCTAGCGTCCACGAGAAGAAACATGCGTTGTGCCTAATAAAGGCCTCATCTTCATTGTCATCCAGACATGTTGTGGAGTGTTTACGAATCTGTAGCAGCAATAAGCCTCTCCTAAATTAGCCTACTTGAACTCATGCCAGGTGGGCTAGTATTAAGGTACTTTTCTTTTACCATCCAGCTGAAAGGAACATTTAATTTGTAACTTGTATCCCAGTATGTCTTCCAAAAGGAAAGCGAACTCACTGCAGAGTACATAGGGCGCTTAATTTGAAGTGTGTATCATGTCTGAAGCATCCAAATGGCAGAGCAGTGCGACGAAGGAGAGAAGGGCGAGGTTGGAACAGGCAGAACAAATGGCGGACGACATCCATCTCCCTTTCGCTTAATGTTTGATTTAATTATTTTCAGAGAACGCTGCAGTGTTATCTACATTGTTTTTAACGCACAGACTCTCATAGTAGTACGTCCAGTCGCACTCATTATGACTTGCGATATCGGAATGCGGGGCCTAACGAGCTTTGAAATGACATACGGCTACCCCAAGCCCTTATAGTCACAACGAAACACTACTACCAATTGAAAACGCCCCCGAACAAGAATTATCCGCTCATTGGCGGAAACGGCAGCAAGTTGAAGCCATGCAGAAACTTCGGGAAACCACGCGTACTCATGTTGCGAACTATATTGAGCGTGACTTTAGAGCTCTCGTGAACACAGGTGTCTTAGAATGGCTAATTCGCGAGTTTGAGCTACGGAAGCGTGAGCGAAACGCGAGTGGTGCGAGTGGGCGCGCGTGTAAATGAAAGAGAAACGGGCGAAACGCCAGCGCAGAGAGTGAGACGCCCGATTCTTACCTACGAGGCACAAATTTTACGAAAAGGCTTTAAGCGAAATCGAAGACTATGCACCAGCCCATGGAAGGTGAAATGGCGTGAGTAACGTTAAAGGATTAAAATGAAGCAGTGCGGGTAAGAGAACAAACGTGCCTAAGGATGATTGAGTTGCGGTCAAGAACAAGAAACGGACATGGAGAAATGGACAGCTGGATTAGCGTGTAGGCAAGGTAAGCGCTGGTCATTGAAGGTAACATTCGGTACCTTAAGAGAATGCAATGAAGCGTGCCAGGGAAAGACAGAAAGGCAGATGACATTCGGAAGTATGCTGGATTAAATAGACGGTAGCAAGCAAATCACCATGCTGATTGGGGTGAAATGGGAGAGGCCTTTCTTTTTACTTTCACTTTATTTCCTTAAAGGCCCCATGTAGGGGGCCTTAAATGAGGGGTAGGAGTACAATTCACGACACTTGACCATTCAGGATGAAAAATGAGCTCGTGCAGCTTCAATGAAAGCTTCTGGGTTGGTTATGGCAACGATGACGTAGGGAAGGCCATTCCAGCCTACAAAGGTGCGTGGGAAAAAGACGAGAAGGTGACAGTGCGGGTTTGTGGGCGAGCTACATTTAAAGAATGGCTCGTACAAAGCCAGAGGTCGATGGATTGCAACGATATTTTCTAGTGCTAGGATTCTGCAGTACACAAGCAAGAACGACCCAGCGCCATGCAAAACACTTCTTCCCACTGTACTGTGTCGTTTGAAAGTTTACATTATCGAGTGGGCTGGGAGAGGCCTTTTTTTTTCACTTTCGCTTTCACTTAATTTCCTTAAAGGGTCCGGTCGCTCGTGTTCGTGTACATCAGAATACTAGCACTAAAAAATATCGTTGCAATCCATCAACCTCTGGCTTCCGCATGCTCGTAAGTAGTGTTTACATGAGCTGGTGGTGAAAGGTAAGGAGTCTGATTGAGTGAGCTGTATTACATTTTGTGTAGCAGAGATAGGCTGGCAATGCGACGGCGATGGGAAAAGGGGGGCAGGCCTGATTTAATCTTTAATGAGGATACGCTTACGTTGTATGAATCTGATGAGTGAATGAACCTGGTTGCGCGGTTCTGTACTATTTCTAGTGAATCTGTGGGGTAACAATAATGAGAATTCCAGATTGCGGAAGCGAATTCAACTTTTGGACGAATTAAAGTCTTGTAGATAATGAGGTTAACATGAGGAGGGGTGTTTGGTAGATGACTCCTAAGAAAGCCGAATGTTTTGTTAGAGGATGACATGATGTTGGACACATGCGAAAACCAGATAAGGTTGTTGGAGATAGTGACACCGAGATAATCATAAGTACTAACATGTTCAACCTGAGTGCTAGCTATTTCGTACGGATAGAGGAGAGGGGTAAGTGAACTGGTGAAGGACATTGATTTACATTTACTGCGGTTAAGAACCATGTGAATCGCACCAGTTTAGGATAGCAGATACACTACTCTGCGGCAGAGTCTGATTGGAGGTATTAGTTACTGATTGGTATATGAGGCAGTCACCAGCGAACATGTGAATAGAGCAAAAGACAGCTAATGACAGATCATTGATGTAGGTAAGGAACGATAGGGGACCTAGTACGGAGCCCTGTGGGACGCCGGAGGATACGGGAACAGGGCTAGAAATCGTGTTATTGTCCTGCATTTGGCACATGCAGGCTGATGATAATGATGACAGCAGAAGGTGAAGCCGAAAAGGCATCGGGATGCATTAATGCATTGTATATATGCTGCTGCAGCCTACACGATAATGTAAATTTTCAAACGACACAGTACAATGTAAAGAATTGTTTTGCATGGCACTGGGTCACTCGTGTTCGTGTACTGCAGAATGCTAGCGCTAAAAAATATCGTTGCAACCCATCGACCTCTGACTTCCGCATGCTTGTCAACAGTCTTCCATTTTCCTTGTACAGCGTACACAATTCCAGCAACGCGGTTATGTAACGCCAAAAAGGAGAGCAAGTTTTTCCCTAAACATACGCGAAACATTGTTGCTCGTGTTTGTGTCGGCTTATCACTTTCCTCTTTACGCAACAACATGCCCCAACTGCTTTGGATCGTGTCGCAGACGACAAGGGTCCGGTAGACTTCCTCCCAGCGCGGAAATACCCGGAGGAAGTTCTGTGGCGAAGAGCGTCCAGAAATACCCTCGAGGAAAGGCAAGAGCTCATCGCGGTGAGTAGCGTTGCTCGACGATCGCCTTGTTATGTTGGCCTAATACCCGGAAGCCTCGGAAGCGGGCTGGCCGTTGTTGCACTTTGAGGCTGCTGACCTGCAGTGGCGAGTCTGAAAACGCCCACAAGCGCTTTGGCGGAGTCACGAAATGCCTAGTGGAGGAAGCAGTTGTCCCTCGTTGCCACTGTTTGATACAGCGTTATCCATAGTCGACTCTAAGCGTGCTCAGTTGAGTGTTACCACTATCGTTTTGCTGTGGCACATTCGACATGCATTATAGTGTTCGACTCGATGCACGCCAGCCTCGGAAGTGCGGCTGTTCGTGAGTTGTGTTCACTTAAGTAGGTACCCGTGTTTTTTTTATTTATTTACGTGATGGCGGGAATCTCTATAGGTTATTTCCTAAGTGATAACCTAAAAAGTTAGTACTATCTCTGGCGCTGCAAAGCATATAGATACAAAGGGACGCCGATATTCAAGGTAAAGTTCGTCTCCACCATGGAATCACAAAAACAAGCGAACGCCATACTTTTTTTCAAAATGAAGGGCCGTGCTCAGAAAGTTTGCAATGTACGCAGTGGTCTTCGAAGCTCGAATACACCACCTGTCGCAACTTTTGGTGCCATACGGTGATTGTCGAGAAATACCTTCAGCAACGACGGGCAAACCGCTACAGGTGGTCTCAGTTGTGGCTATATTGCAAGCACGGGTTTCCTGCGTAATCCAGCAACGAAGGGCTGATTTATCTCGAGAAATTGGCGAATTTTTCATAAGTGCGCCTTGGCACACACGTGACGAAGTTTGACAATTATCACTCAATTTTGCAGCGCAGATGGTTGAAATCAGACGTGTGTTGTGCAGACAACGATCGTCACCGCCAACTGCCCTGCACGACGTCACTGTCCAAGTACAAAGAACCAAGCAGATATAATTAAAGGGAGAAGCTCCAACGTGCGTCCCTTAATAAGTGCTCGCCGCCCGTGTGCCCCCTTGTTAATTTTTAATGGGTCAGTGTGGTGAGTAGTGTGATTCGCCCAATTTTCGTGGCACGTACGCTCCATGAAAGTTATTACAGCGGAGCTCTTATGATTGAGGTTTGCCCACAAGCACAGAAAGAAAGAGAAAGACAGACATGGGCTAGCAAAGTGCCAGACCATCGCGGAAAGCGCGACACAGTGGAAGCTGTAAGAGCGGAATTCCTAGAAGTTCTCGTAAACTCTGCCCCGCCGCGATGGTGTAGTGGCTAAGGTGCTCGGCTGTTGACCCGCAGGTAGCGGGATTGAATCCCGGCGGCGGTGGCTGCATTTCCGATGGAGGCGGAAATGTTGTAGGCCCGTGTGCTCAGATTTGGGTGCACGTTAAAGAACCCCAGGTGTTCAAATTTCTGGAGCACTCCACTGTGGCGTCTCTCATAATCATATTGTCGCGAGAGGAAACGAAATTCCACGCTGTGTTGGTAGCAGAAGACGAGAGCGAAGAAGTGAATAGCAGCTGTGGCTGAGTAAACAGTCCTTGAAGGCGGCGGCTGCTTCGATAGATATCAGCAGACCCTGGTGCACTGGCGGTGGTTGCTTCTGGTTCAGGACCAGCAGGCATAAGGCGTACGCAGTACAGTACCCAGCACCTCCACCAGTCTGTCGCGAGAGGAAACGATAGGCAGGAACTCGAAGTGGAGGACTGTTTACTCAGCCACAGCTGCCATTCACTTCTTCGCTCTCGTCTTCTGCTAACAACACAGCGTGGCAATATGGTGGTTTTGGGACGTTAAACTCCACTTATCAATCAATCAATCAATCAATCAATCAATCAATCAATCAATCAATCAATCATTAACTCTCTCTTGGCGATGTGGTGGCAATGAGGACGAAGAATTATGGCTGAGCCCTTTGTAATGTTTTCAAAGCAGTCAGCGACCCACTCGTTACGTGATTCGCAGTGTGGCACGTATATGTTATTTTAATCGTCTACCATGCTATATTACACATGTTAACGTAGTTACTTCC